CTAAACAGGAGAAACCTTTATCTAATACTTTGAGAATAAACCAGAGTGCTCAGTAGAGAAAAAAGAAAAGTATTAAGAGAAGAAAAATAGGTAAATGGTCCATAAGGAAATGAAAGTACTTCAGATAGTAGACACAATAGGTCTGGGCTAACAATTTAAACCAAGTATTTGTAGAATGTGTTGACACAAGGAAGGTAGCCTCTGTGAAGAGCTAAAGTAGCCACATCCCACAGAAGGTTCTTCCAGAGGTGGCTGTCCATATGTGCTTGTAGAGATAATGTCCTCTTCTAGCTTTGATTTAATGTTACTTAACTATTTAATAGAAGTGTTTGATATCAGGATATGTTTATTAATACAACAGAGATATTCCATAATATATTCTTAAATTCCACTTATATGTGCAGGTGTTATGAGTCTGGTCTGGAGAGAAGTAAAAATCTATATAGAAGCAATGTAGATAAATAATGTTTGAAGATTTGAAGTGTTCTCAAAGTATTAGAAAGGACACTTTGCAGAGTATATGTTGTATAAGTCTCCCTCTAGCTCTGGCTGTGTATATGCATAGAAATCCTTTTCACAGGTGTCACCAGAAATGTAATATATTCTCAAGTATTACAGTATTTAAAAATACTTATTGTTATAAAAGCCTAACTGATTTTATAACAAAATAACAAACAACATTGTAATTCCCTCTTCCAACCCACCCAGCCAACTGAACTAACTTTCTCCCATTTTCTCTCTTCTCTCTAGAAAACAGCAGTATTTACTCCTATTCCATTCCATTCCAGCTGTCTTCTTTCTTAGATGGTCCAGATCAGTATTTGCTAGAATAGAAAGGCAGGCTATAACATAATTTAGTCCATTTATTTATGGTCACTGACTGGTATATATCTACCCAGAAAAAGATGAAAAGAATAAATAAATAGTAATATGCTTTATTCTCATTGATAGGAAGTTCTCCAAATTGGGGGTTGATTAATTCTGACTTCAGATTTTTATAAAAGTTAAAACAGATATGTAAAGTATTATAATCTTACAATGGGAGTGATGGTGTAAATTTTAAAAATATGTTCACTGAAACAATTTTATTTACATATATGAGTAATATTCCTGTCATTTGATACTCGAATCTCAATGCAAAGTTTAGTGATTTTATATACAAGTAGTCCTCGACTTACAACAGTTCATTTAGTCATCATTTGAAGTTACAAGGGCACTAAAAAAGTGACTTATGACTATTTTTCAAACGTACAATCGTTGCAACATCCCTATGGTTAGATACTTGGCAACTGACTTGTATTTATGACAGTCGCAGTGTCCCAGAGTCATGTGATTATTATTTGTGATCTTCTGACAAAGTCAATGACAAAGCCAGATTCACATAACAACTCCCGTTACTAACTTGACAGCTGCAGTGATTCACTTAACAACTGCAGCAAGAAAGGTCATAAAATGGGCCAAAATTAACAAATGTCTCACTTAGCAACAAAAACGTTGGGCTCAATTGTGATCATAAGTCAAGGACTACCTGTATACCTTTGCCTCCCTGTGTGAAAATGACGAATTTCAAATATGAACCACACTTCTGCAGTAACTATTGATAGAAAAATATAAAATACAGTTCAATTCAATATTTTCTTTAGAAATCAGATGCTGAAACTATCTTTAGAGATGAGATGTTGGTGTAATGCACCTATGACTCCCAGCCTGGAACTGTTGATGCAATCACATTACTTTCAATGTGTAGAAGAGAAAAAAACTTACTCCCTTGCAATCCCTTCCCATCTAATCTCTCAATTCTCAGAGGTGGTGGGCTAGAAGGAGGCAAAAAATTTGCCTACAGAAATCACTTGTTTTTCTCCCTCCTTTTTCTCATTGCAGAATGGAGAGATTGGAGACGAAGAGATTTCAAGAGAGTAAGCTGTTTGAATAGTATACCTGTGGTTCCCAGCCCTGGGCTTCCGATGTGATCAAATTACTTTTGAAGTGTACAAGATGGCACTTGAGCATTTCAAAGAGCAGGGGAGTGGTTAGGAGGCAAACAAAAACCAAAGGTGTGGAATTGAGTATATAGTTTTTTTTCTTTTTCAGTCTGAAAGCATAGTCACATGATTTCCTATTCTGCTTAGCAGCAGAATTGCTTGTCCCGCTCAAGTGAGAATTGCCTAGTTATGCTGCTTGGTTTACAATAGAACATGTACTGTATTATTTTACAGCAATCCTAGAACATAAACTATAAGGCCCTATTTACATAAGCTACAAAAAGAAGAAAGATGCTCAAATTGATAAGAATTATTTATTACTCAGCCCTAGGAAACTCCTGCAATTTTAAACAATGTACAATTAATCAGCATACAATTCCTATCAGTAAAAATTATTAAATAATGAAAATGCATAATGCAGTTATATTTTATATTCTCTTTAAAGAGATTACAAAAACAAAACAAAGTTTAGCTGTAGGTAACTAAAAATAATTAATGCCCAAACCACTATCTTTGGGATTAAGATCATGTTCCAAAAACCTGAAGGACAAAGAAATGGGCGTGGATTTACTTAATCACTTAATTACGTGTTGGTCATATGATTACTCCCTATGTATGTAACAATTTTATGTAATGATATTCCATACTCATAGTAAATTTTCTTAAACGTCATTTTCAAATAAGCAATAATAAATATGTTCCAGTGACATGTTTTGAAGAGATTCTGAGAGCTATCAACATTTCACAGAAGTCTACATAAAGAAGATTAAACAGTTGCCAATAAATGCTACTGAATTCTATGTCATAGCTCATGTTTTAATTGCTCTTTCACTTTTTATTTTTGCACTGTACACTCTTATTTGTCATTCTATATAGACTGAATAAGTGCACGATTTAACATTTTAAAATGATTTTATGTAGT